GAAAACGTGATTATAATTTCACCGTCAATAACACCGTCGAGGCAGAAAATGTGCAATACACATTTACAAAATAGACCAGTGTAAAATAAGCCCCGGGTGCACCTCGTAGGCCGTTGTTGAAGTGGTTTTACAAGAGGTACGGGAGACCTTGATATAGTGGTTATATTTAGGGCCATGTGTTACCAAGTGCAGAAAATTCATATTTTCAGTGTTATTATGATTTTTGGAAATTCTAAATTTAATATTTTCATATGATTTTTTTTTATTGTTGATAACTTATGTTAATCGCTAATTGTAGATACTTATAGATAATTCTTTTGTACCATACAATGATTTTAAGAACTTATTATTTCACTGTAGTTGGAGTTAAACTACGTGACAGTATCTATTTAATAAAGTCCATTAGATATTGTCTTCTACACTTATTTTTGACAAAATATTCAGTAAAATTTATAAAGGAAAACAGTTTTTCTCTGTAATAACTTTTACAATAATGCGAAAAAGATCTGTGAGAAGGTTACGAGGAGTAAGTTTGTTTGATTGTTTGTTAACTAATACTGATTTAATGGCTTAACTAATTAATATAGTATTTGGTATACATGTACATAATAGTATACATGATAAAAGGAGAAAGTTATAGGCTACTTTTTATCCTGGTCAGGCGAACGAAGTCGTGGGTAGAATCTAGTATTATATATAATCCAGTGCCGCAATATTAAGTTTCTGTTAATTTGGACTCAAGTGAGACTTGAGATAGGATAATTCTTATCCCGATAAGTGATCTTTAGGAGAAATAAAACCGTTTACCGGGTTAGCTAGTATTCTAAACTTTTATATTGTGAACTAGCTATATCTCGTGGCTTTATCCTTGTAAATCAGTGTATAAAGTACATTATATGCTAACTAAGTTAGGATATAACCTACCAGTATATATATTGTCTAGATTAACATGGCACATTTCTCCAAATTTTAATTTCAACGTGTATTTTTTTTATGCAACTTAGAATGGCAAACTAGTTGATGCGGACGGCCCGACCGCTACTGAAGACATTTCCTCACAAACACAAACACCACCACGTCTGTATATGTTCATACACAGAAATATACACACAGAGGAATAACACCTGAGTCCTCAGGAATGGCAACGCATGGGGGATATCATGAGCGAAACAGTATACTCTGTTATGTCCATGGTACTGTTCATGTTTACAGGCGATGGTTATACTTTCCATCGGGTGAGCTGTCAGCTTTTTGCCATTATAAGTTGCATAAAAATATTTTTACTTACATCTTGGTTAAGTCTTTATGAATTCGTCACAATGGGCCATATGACCTGTTTTTATTCTCACCTATCATCTTTCCCTGGTATCCCGCCAGCATATACCGTTAGCACGGTAGAGTTACCATTATCATCCTTAAAGCGGCTGTGCTTGTATTATTGTGTTGTGTTATAAGATACGGAGGTATAATACGAGCATCTTTGTCCTTAGAAATAACAACGCACGAAAGGGCCTACGAGTACTGTTATGTCCATGGTTCATGTCTATAGGCAACGGCTGCCACTTGCCATTGGATGAAAGAGATTATTAATAATGGGGTATAACAACCCCATTGCTAGTAATGTACCTTATCAGGTCGACGTCCACGCGTTTTCCCATGGAAACCATTGTAGTTAATTCTTGTAGAATTCGTCACGGTGGGCCAGCTGGCCTGCTTTCATCCTCACCTATCATCTCTTACTAGTGCCCCACTAGCGTATACCGCAGGTAGATTTAGGTACTATTATCATTTCACTGTTTAAAAAAATCATTTTTCATAAAGTGACTGTCAGCTTGTTTGTTATCCTAAGATGCATAAAAATAAATAACATTTGAATTTCTGTTCTAGGTGACGATACAGCCTAATTCACGGAGGCGAGAGACCTCTTTGTCCGCATTGCACAGTCGTTGCAAAGGCCGACGCTCATTTGCTGAAAGCCCCTGCCTCAAGTGTCGTCAGAAATCCGGCCATTCGCGTTCGCTATTTAAAAATGAGACTTTTGAATTTCGAGCTATGAATAGTTTAAAATATGCAAATAATCGTAACAAATTTACATGCATATAATAACATTAAAAGTGAATAATGTCTGTACATAAGAGATATTTAAGAACAAAATATCTTAATAAGAACAATAGATAAAGTTGTTTTAGAATATTACAACCGACTTCAAGAAGAAGTAGGTTATTAATTCGGTTGTAGTTTTTTATGTTTGTTTGCTCATAACTCTGTCAGTTCTAAACAGATTAGTTTTTTCTTTTATCTGAAAGTTATATACTTACGGATTGGTCCCGAAATTAGTTCAGTAATTTAGTTTTGTCTGGCTCTCTGTCTGTTTGTATATTTATTTGTACAAGCATCATGCATAAATTACTTCAGCAAATTATATGCGGTTTTCACAGGTGTGTTCCTAGAGGTCGTAATTTTGATACGCCGTCTAAAAGTGGTTTATTTCATGGCTTTCCTACTTTCATAATTTATGCGTACAAAATTGTAGGCAAGAGATAGTTAAATACACGTTTAACTAGCTGGTTCCCGCGGATTTGCCCACGTGTCTCAGTGTATAAAGTATCCAATGTATTAAATAAGAATATAACCAATCTATGTATCAAATTTCATTGAAACGCATTCAGCGTGTGATTGATTGAAATATTTTTACAAACTATCACATGTATAAAATTTGTAGGATACATAAATATTTTTATTTTTTTATTTTAATGTTTATTATTTTTTACCAGAGAGAGACTTTATACAATAGTCGTTTACTTAGGTTACTTATTCCATTCCTATATCTGCAGTGAAGAAGTTACATTTTCATGACTGTGTTTCGGTTTGAAGGGTGGGATATGGCAATGAAGTTACTGAGTACAGAGATATAACACCTGTGTTCTTAAGAATGGCAACAGATGGGTACACACAGTATACTCATACTCTTTTATTGTTTTGAGTGATAAAAATAGTTATAATCTGCCTATTGACTATTTTAGTTAGGCAAACTAGATCTTTCGGGTTTTATTAAGATGCCACCACTGGGTACCCATTTTATTATTTAAAATGTACTATGTGTATATATGACGTCAATAACAATTGTAACAGCACGAAACTATCTCCATAGAATTGTACTGGTCTTGGAAAATAAAAATATCTTGTGGACATCTCCAGCCATTTACATAAGAGTCCTGTGGGCGAGCACCCGCTGCGCTGTCGCGCGCATTCTTCACTGAAAGTGGCTTCTTTCTATGACGTTCCAACAATAGTTTTTATAGTCATAAGCTACCCTAAGGAGTAGCTTCACTCTGATTAATTTGAATTTTAATTATTTTACTTGAAACGATTTACAGTTGATTGCTATTATAGCTATGTGTTAATACAATTTATTAGATAAAAATGCTTCAGATTATAGTTAAGAATAGTTTTTCTCAATCGAATTGAATCGAATTGAAAGAAACAAAGAGTTTCAACATTAAAATTTTGTTTGTGTAAGTATGTATCTATAAAAAACTCAATGTTTTTAAATATGTAAGCGTAAAGCGTAATGTAACAAGAATATTGTTTTGTACAGTACAGCATACTACATGAAAAAAGAAAACTCATATATCTATCCAATTTCTTTATTGAAAGGGCAGTCATTTGTTCTTTATTTCATTACAATTATAATGTCAAGGTTAATATTCACTTCTAACTTCTGATCTAAATGCGTAAAAAGTTAAAGAGAACAACAAAATGTTTGTTTCATGACACGAAAAGAAAATGGCCTGTACTTTGTAAATTATATTTAGAACTAATTACATCTAACCTTGCGACAAAGGCATAGTTTGGTAAACAACTTGGTGTCTAGTAACACTAACAAATAAAATATATTTACCTACTTTCGCTGAATAATAAAAATGTATAGGTTAAACCAGTCAAGGTCAGTCAAGGTTATTAATACTACTGTAATGTGTTTTAATAGAATTTAATGTATAAATTTTGTAATTTTACTTCAGATTATCTTTAATTACAAAATAATCAACAAAAACTACAAGTTTCGATTTCAGCGCAATCTAGTATTTCTTGTCTAATTTTGTTTAGTTACCAACCACTTTAATGCAAAGGTAAGCAAATTTTGAAGAATATATCACAGAAAAAGGTCTAATTCCTAACATACAATAATTTAAACAATTTTTTATTTGTATTACTATTGTATATCAGTAAACTGTGTTATGGTTGACTCAATTATTCATTTGTATACATTTTTATTGATTTTTATGCAATGATACAGATCATAGATAAAGGAAACCAGATTAGTTGATAGTAGAGTGCTGGCACTATTTGAGGTATTTGGAAGCGATTTTAAATATATGATTTTGTATTTTTGCGCATTAATGTTAATCTTAGAACTTAGTAGACATGAATTTATCGATTGTACTTTTTTGTTACCGCTCGCATGAGAAACGACAAGATGTCTGACTTTGCTGACTACGAACTGCCTGCTGATTAGTTGATTAATTATTCGATATAGCGAATACGTATCTATAGACATATTCGTTTCCTACTCGTACAGCGGGCTGGTCACAAAAATGTTTATTTTACTAATTCTTAATGATGCTGATGACAGTAGGGACTTCGGAAAATTTAGAGTATAGTAAAGCATTAGATTTCGAAGTAACAAAGTACTCTCATTTATTAAAGTAGAAATTTTTAGTTCAATTAAATAAGTTTGCTGTTATATTTACATAGTAAGTAAGAATACTTTAATATTTTTTATGATACTTAACATACGCTGACGTAAAAGCTATTGGAAAGTGGTAACCGTGTAGTTAAAATATTGCCTCGAAAATAAGTATATTTGTATAAAATTAATTATATGTCAAGACTGGATTAGAACTCGTTACTACTAAGCACTTCGTTTACCGATCCTGTATGTACAACTACCTTTATTATAAAAATGGAGGGATGAGCCGTACCCCGCCAGTGCTCATCTCACAGGTGATAAATCTGACGGTACCCGTGCCATGTCCGTTTGCTAGCTCATTAGTCTTAATAAAATCTCACAAAATGAGAAAGGCATTTATATCAATTCTGGCGGTACTCGCGTTCGCCCAGATCCGGGGATCCGACGTCGGGAAAGACGGGTTCAATTTCTATAAAGGTATTTTTTGTCAATTTGCATATTAATGGCGAGGGAATTTTAATTAGAAAAATGTGTGCTACTTTTGCTATTCGGTACGTTCGCTGTGTAATTAAATTTGATCTTTATTGTTTCGTCTGTATGATGAAGTTATGACAATTGATTGTAATTAAATTAATTGATGCTTTTGAACATTAAAAACGGTTGCACGAGTATGTTATTAAATTTGAATTGTTGAATTGACATTGAAGTATTGTATATTATTTTAATATTTAATAATAGAATACAGTTTAAGAAGGAATCAAATTTATTATAAGTAATTTATGTACAGGTGTCTCTATATTTTGCATCTATGGCACTTCATTATCATCAAATCAGCCGTTAACTCTTTACTGCTAAACATAGGCCTTCCCCATAATAGGGGTTTTGTTAGTAGTTGCCAAATTTGGCAGGCGGGTTGGCAACCTCAGTTAGGCTTTGGTAATTAATGTTTCCTATCTTTGTTAATAGAAATAAAAGGTGTCTGCAATGTTCTGAATGATGACTTTCAACATAGCAATGTAAAGAAGAGTTTTGAATAAAATTACGATAAACAATTTTAATTTCCAGCATTTTATGGATAATGAAGCGAGTGAAGAGAATAATCATATAATATTCTCTTACAAAATTGTGGAAACACTTTGCTTGTTAATTAATATAAGAGTTAATTAAACGATCTGTTGTATAATGGCAGGTTTGATCTTGGAACATAAATTAAATCGGATCTTTCCCTAATAAAATTTATTTACATGTACAATTAATAAATTAAATTTATTATTTATTTAATCTTAAACGATTTCAACATGTAACGGATTGTGTTTATTGTTTTTATTAATAAAATGTAAAATACATTTTATTAATGTGGCAACTTTTGATCGATATGTAGGTAGCTATTAAACATGTAAAATTGTCACCTTAAAACGCAATTCCATTAATTCGAATAGCCTTTTTTAATGGCATTGATGGAATGGTTCACCCTATGTTAATGATGTATAATGGCGGGGCGCCAGTGGAGGATGAAATGATAAGGACGTAATAAGGTCAATTCGCCTACTTAATTCATATTACACTTTGATCTTGGCCAAAAAGCTGAGATGCGACGAGATGATTAATTCATATTAAATCCACTAGGAATTAACCACAATGATTTCAAAAAGAGCTACGTCGTTTATATAGTAATATGTAGGTATATATTGAAGATGCAATATCTATATATTAGTACAATAACTAATATATTATATATCGGTTGAATACGAAGTGACGATACTATACTCGTATCCTGCCACATCGGATTCTAAAACTGTAGTAATTATTTTATTGAATCAAGTGTTATTTTGTAGAATTTTATACCACTTTGAAAAATATATAATATATAAATGGCTGCAGAAATAGAAAAAAAAATATAATCAATCAACCACTGTCTTAATTGTTAAAATCCTCTTAGCTTAGATAATCTATATTAGCAATTACAGTCGTCAGTATATTTATTTTAATTGTTCAAGATAAGGTCTGACATATATATATATATATATATATATATATATATATATATATATATATATATATATATATATATATATATATATATATATATATATATATATATATATATATATATATATATATATATAATGTCTTTACCTTTTCCCCCTCCCAGATGCACTCACATCACTGATAACCTTATGCATATTGCAGTATTGATGATGCTATGTTACTGTTTGCAGATTACTTACGTGCTCGCTCCGACGAAGCGATGCTAGAACCTGGTTCTGAAGAACGGACATTGTGTAAGTATACTCAATTCGACGACTCCGTAGCACTGAGGTAGGCACGTTGTTTTGCGTAGATGAGGTCCCAGGTTCGATACCTAGTCAGGTCATTGTAGAAAACAAACTTCCTAATGTGTCTCTAAGCTTGATATAATATAAAGAGATATTGTTAGTGACCTCTCACTGCCTTCAAGATGCATATTGCATAAAGATACATATATATCTCAAAAGTGTTAACATCATTTTATTTCAATGATATAATGATATTACTGGATGACGAGTTAAGTTTTTAATTTAACTCTAAATACTTGGATATGTGAGATGATGCTTCATTTAATACTTAAGAAAAATGATATTATAAAAAAAATTGTGTGACTGATTAATGCACAGCTAAACTGCTGCTAACATACATAATACGTAAAACATTCCCGTGGACTATAAATGAGTATTAAAAAAGGTTTTCTAGAAAACCCCACGGGAATGATATAGTTAGTTAATAAATAATAACGAGTAGTTTGAAGTGTCTAACGTATATTTAACCTACCTACTGGACCCGAATCCCTCTAAGAGAACATGACCTCTTCTAATACTGAAGGAGGTCATTGACCCTCAATTATTATATTATTACTTTATTATATGGATCATCATTACCTAGATAGAGCTAGATAACTATTTCATTAATATTTTTTAACGATAAACCTTTTTGTCAATAATAATGGGTAGTATGAAGTATTTAACGTACATTTAACCTACCTACTGGGCTCAAGTCTCACTACGGGGACAGGACCTTTTCTAATACCAAAATTATTACATTACTATATAGATCATCATTACCTAGATAGAGCTAGATAACTATTTCATTAAATTTTTTATATTCAATGACGAGCCTTTATGGTAATCAATGCTCCTTTCCACTAATTATTTGCTAGAAGAGAACTCTTACAGAGTTAAGTTCGCCTGTTGTACTTTTTTATTTAATATAAATTATATCATTGTAAATTTTTGTGTACAATAAAGTATAAATAAATAAACCTTTAAAATTGTCTCAGTTCTTTAATTGATGACTTTTTATGTATTCATAATAGCAAACGAGATGACGGCCCAATCAATCAAATGGTAACATGCCATAATTTTATCTTTATATGCTGCCTATGAACATTTAGTGTCATAAAACGATGCGACAGCCAGATAGTTGACTAATCGTTTCTTAAGATATATTTTGACACTTGTTACTCCATCTAAAAGTATAAGATCTATTATATGCCCACCTACAAATTCCCAATAGACCCGTTTATGATATTCTAGTGAATTTGTCCAGTGAGGAGTTCGTATTCTCTCTATAATTCAGCACGTGACTCTCTTTCCGAACCGTTGAACCGCTTAAGCACTTAAAAAAACACTACGTTTTATTATATTTACACCGTTCTTTTGCTAGATACTTTGTATGTGTGAATTTTAGATGAAAAAGAAAAACAATTAAATACACCATTTTTAGAATATAAATTAGACTTTTAGGAACATAACTGTAAAATTTGTATCCAATGTGGTGCAGTTTTATCTTCGTAATGCCAGAACAAACATACAGACAGACGAACAAAATTTCTAAAAATTATTGTTGAGGCCTTTATTGTTCTTATTAAGACCCCTTATATTACTTTTTCTTAAATATCTCTCATGTACAGACATCGTTTACTTACAATTTTATTATATTATTAAAATAATCTTCATATCAGCCTTTAACTGTTTTCTCTGTGTGTCTTTGTATGTCTTTAACATAAACCTCCCCTGTGGGGGTTTTGCCAGTAGTTGCCATGTTTGGCAGGTGGATTGGCAACCGCAATTAGGCTTTAGAAATGTTGTAAGAGGGACGATGCTGACCAGCCCTCGCTCTCCCTTAGTTGGCTCTCATGACACCCACGGGAAGGAAGGGGTGGCCTATTCTATGCCAGGACCACACGGCCAAATTTCAATTTCTTCATAATTCTATTGTATGGACTAATAGTAAAATAAGATTATAATAAATTCATAATAAATGGAAAACTGTAGTCATTAAATATTTTTAGAAATATATCTGTAATGTATGCATGAATAAACGAACTAATAAATATAAATAAGAAATAATGAGTATATTTATGATAAGGATGCTGAAAAAACTATGATATTTGAAATTTTTTACTATGTGAGTGTTAGTGGATTATATTTATATGACGTGAAACGCTAAGTTTTACACAAGAATGGCCCAACTGATTGAGATCAGATTCTTACCGACTTTTTTTTCCGTCATTGACAAAAATAGATCACATCTAGTTAAACGTAATTACGTAATTAATTTCGTTATTTAAATAAGAAGAAATAAATGCTAATAAAGAAGAAATATTTTATTTGTAAAGGATAAACTTAAAAATTACTCTACCGACTTTAAAAATTATTTTACCTGTAGAAAGCTGATCAGCGAGTATATTATTTTCAAATATTCTATCTTTCCCTGCGAAGCGTAATAAATTACGTACTAATTAGTAAAGAATGTTCGTTATTTAATAATTTGTTTTTAAAGTTATTTTATATTGATTGTTTAATTACAGATTTCTACCGAACACCATTACAATTATATCCCGGTTTACTGCCCGTCCTGGATCAAGAATACAGAAAAAGAACAGGAAATGCCTTTAAAAGTATGATTATTAATATCTTTAGTCATTATATATAATTTGAAATTTACTATTTCAATGTCAGAATTGAAATATCCTAAAAGTAATTATATTTTTAATCAACCGACTATATATAGAGACTGAATAACCTTGTATTGTTTTTCATTTTAGATTTACAAATTTTCTGTCGCAACATGTTTTATGTTTATACATGGGTAGATTTTTATTCTTCTTTATATTTTATTTTTCTTAAAAATAGGTACATTTTTTACTATATAGAGAACGGTAATTTAATAAATTTATATATTACAGATCACATGTTGAGCAAGGAGTTAAGGGCAGAAGATGTGCCCGGCAAAAGGAGTTCCAAAACAGCGCTCTCTCTCATGCTACAGGGAAAGCAACATCCATATTATGAGTAAGTTGACTTGTATCTTACTATCCTACTATTGTTATAAACGCGAAAGTTTGTGACAACGTGTGTATGGATGAATAATTGTTACTGTTTCACGCGAAAACTACTGTACGGATTTGAATGAAATTTAGTACACGAATAGGTTATATTATAAAAAAAAAATTATATAGTAATTTGCGCGAGTGAAACCGTGGTAGTTTTAATTAACTTTATAAATCTATATGCAAGTTTTTGGCATAACAGACATCTATAGTTGATCTGTGTGTTAGCGTTTTTGTCTAGTGATAGAAACACAATTCTGATTAAGAAAATTAAATCACGCGCGGAAAGTATGTGTTCATAACAGGACTGATGGATAATTGACGATTGACGATGATGGCGGATCGATTTTAAACGTATTGTTCCATTTATGAATGTAAAGACGCAAAACAGCCAGGTTTTACGAGTTCGTATCGACATTTTTGTTAGTATTTTTTTAAAGAGTTTAATAAAAAGTATCTAGAGCATGTACCAGAAATATATAATATATTCATTACTCTATATATATCCTTTACTCAATATTACAGGAAAATGGGGCATTATTGTCCGTACGGCAAATAATGGTGTTCAGTTGTCATGGGTAGGTTATTTTTTAAACTTCTTACTAATATTATAAATATAAAAGTGAGTTTATTTGTTACTATTTGGAGATTTAATGGCTAAACTAATCGTCATAAGGTATATAGTATTTCAGGTGGAAAAGAACATAGGCAATTTTTAATCACTAGGCTAAAGTTGTGATAAAAAACTAATATTAATTCCTTTATAATATTATTCGTACTAAATGTAATGTAATGTAAATTGGACTCTATTTTCCGCACGTAGTCTCTCATTTGGACCATTGTGCGTATGTGTGATGGCTACTATAGCTAGCCCAGCTCCGCCCAGAAGCATAGAAGCTTCCTGGAATCATCACAGGCGTCATGGAGCGACCTTACTGTTCCACGAATTTATAAACGTTAAGGGACCACAGTTTCACATTCCAGGATTACATGAACAGCTGTTTCTTCGGTGTCAAAACAGCCTCGACATAGAAGGCTGTCTGTGGCTGCTATTGTGTATAAATGTTTGTGTAATGGGCAATGGCCCGTTATTGTCCCTATCATTGTTTTAACGTTTTTTCTGCCTAGATATTATTTGTACTAATATAAAATGTATTTTTTTAACGTAGACCATTCGTTTTGTTTCAGTGCTGACGTCGTACAGAGTGATGACATGAAAATACCCATAGAATAGAAATATTAATTTTTCTAAAGTTTTATTTCTAGAAAATTGTAAGAGAAATTCAATTTATGTAACACTTATTAATTGCTGTATCTAAAATAAAATATTCATTTTTAATTTTTAAATTCCTTATTTAGTCAATCAGAGTATAGAATGTATATAATATATCATTGCTTGCCATAGTTCATATCTACCAAAGATATCTGTATACTACGTCTTTATATACAAAGATCTTCTTCATCTCTTTCTTATCTCTTTTTTTAGCCAATTTTATACACAATATGTCAAATGTGTCTCTACATAACATCTACATAAAAAAAATCTTTTTTTTTATATTTCTGTTTAAACGATCGTAGTTTTTGCAAACTTACCTACATATACATATATAATAACGTATAAGTATTAAAGAATTTATACTGTTATAAATGTTGTGATAAAAAAAAGTATTATTTATCACGACGATCGTTTCCATTAAAATTTGCCACAAATTTTTAGACATATATTCTATATTATAAAAATAGGGAGTAAGAATGAATCTTTTGGATAAAATTGTATTATAAAATTATGTTGAAGACTCAGATGCTGTAAGAATAAGAACTAGGTAGAAGTGACACTCTCGTCAATAATAATATCGAGTTCATCGCTCAAATCGTAGGCACGTACGTTTAGTTCCTTTAATTAGTGCGGTCGTGCGCCACTCAGAGAGCATGTTTAATATTAAGCCACAAGATGGCGTATTTCTTTTATTTAACAACCAAAGTACTAAAATTGACGATTTGTTTACTTAGCAACAAAAAAAAAATATAATTTCACATAATAAAAATAACGTTTATGTTATATGTACTATATATATTATTGATAATTTTATCCATGTCGTGTATGAGTTATCAGATAGCATGTGATGTCGTTACTCCTATGGTAGAGGGAGGAGGTTATTACATTTTATAAAAGGTCGAAAGAAACCATGTTTAATATAGTTATCATTTTCGATGAATTTGGTAGTGTTAAGTTCAAAAATAATAAAAAAGATGACCGTTGTAAAACTTTTTCACAAAAGATTTACTAGCAATTAGTAACACTATATTGCTCAAATTTATTCATGTATAAATTCATAAATTGTATGTATCGGTGTTAATTCTACTGGCAGGTGGGTACCGTACTCTACATTTGTCCATACAAACCTAGAGTACGGTGTACCGGATTGCTTTTTATTATTTATGTACGACAAAGTGATTTATCAAATGATTATAAATTTGTTACCACCCTATTTGAGTGAAGGAATGTGGAGTACATTTTGTTGGTATCGCTACACTTACATAGAAAGTACGTGAGCGTCACTTCTACCCAGACTATTTATTCTTATGCCATGGTATTAAAACATTTATAATATTGCTATAACTATTTCATTTTAATATAATACAATTAAAAATTGAATAAACTTTGACTACTCTCTTAGTGTTCTGTATGTGTAGTATTATTAAAATATATTAAATCCTATAAATAAATAATTATGTATAATAATTGTTGTGATTGTTGATATTTGGTGGAACTTTGTATACATATTGATATTATTAGAAAAATTATTTGTATTCTCCAAGTACAAGTGCTTTTATAATAATACCAAAATAATACGTAATTGCTAAACATACTACATAATTATGTGCTTTAGTAAAAATATTAAAATATGATATTAGAAGGTCCATGAATGTGAGAAATATTAGATGTATTTAAATAAATGCAATATATACTTATACTTGTTTTTATTAATTACTCCCATTATACCGAAATATTAAAATTAACTAGAGTTATAAAATAAACAGGTTACGTCACTGCTTTTGATTTAATAGTGAGGTTTTGTGTTTAATCGCTAATTTAAAATTTCCAATTTGTGGGATGTAATGAATCTAATATTTTTCAACAACAAGTGTTTTAGTTTGAAGGGTAGTGAAATTCTAAGGCACGGCGTACCTATAACAACCTAGTCCTTAGAAATGGCAACATAGGAGGCTTATCTCCGGCGTCATAGTATATTTTGTGACGTTCATGTCTATAGATCATTGTCATAATTTTTTATCCTTATAAAAAGGTGGATAGTGATCTTTTTTATCAATTCTTGATTAATATTAAAAATTACCGAATTTGTTTATGTAATACTACAAGAACTAAACGGATAATAAAATAAACGTTTCTTCAGGGTCAGCATCGCGCGCGTAATACCTTTGGTATTGCAAGCGTTTATAGGCCACCATTAGGTGGGCTGAATGCTAGTTTGCCAACTCAGTGGTAAAAAATAAATATAATAAAATCCGTTTGGTTCTATTGTCTTTAGTGTGATAGAACTAAGTGGTAGAACTATACGAACAATTAAATTTCGGATTTAATATTTAAATTTGTAACATATTTCTTTGAGCACTAGATGGGTGTTGCTGGCAGTTTGATCAACTAACATTTTTATAGTTATATCAATTTATCACCTTATATCAATGTTGTTACTATTTTCGTGTAAATAATTCTTTTTAATAGTGGTAAAGATTTTATTTGGAGAAAATTAGTTTATACGCTTAATTACCTTGCATCCATCGTGGATAGGAGGTATGTACGACATATATATCTATATTCAACAACTTTATTTCTATTTGACTTATTCCTGTCTATGACTGACTATTCATATTGAAGGCCGGCCGTCAACAGTAGTACCAAGAGTTTGATATCGAATGAAATGAAAATGCACGTGAATGATACAGACAAAATTGAATAAAGGTGGATGCACTGGTGAAATATGATTGCTTCAAACTACGCTTGCTTTATGATTTTAAAAAGAATGAATATTTACGAGTATACAGAATAGATTTTTTATCAGCAATATTGATAGTATATGCACATGCCCAAATAGGTGGAATTCACATATACATATTGTTTACGTACGTAATATAGCTTACGATTCTTTAATCAATTTTGGGTTAGATAATAAAATCAAGATTTAGTACCTCAAAAAAATAAAATTCAATTGTGACAAAACCAGTTATTTTGATTTAAAAACTAAACTACTGAACAGATTTTGATAAAATTTCTATGAAACAAAACTGTACGTATAATATCCATTCAAATAAAAAAAGAGTTTCCCAAATCAGTTTACAACTGACGAAGTTATGTTATGGTTTTATAAATATAAAAAAATAGAAGCGAATTAAAAACATTCTTTTTTATCGAAGTCGGTTGAAAAAAATCTGATATTACAATTATTTTAGAATTAGTGTTTAGAGTTAGATCTCTTATTGTGTAATATACACATGGAAATCGATGAAGCCGAATTGAGAACTTCCTCAGGAAAAAAAAATTATGAAAAATTTTTTCATAGTACACACTTCGGTTAGTTATCTGTTGAATAGTTATAATATAGTACAGTCGTAAGAGTCGTAATACATAAGTATATATATATATATATATATATATAATATTATTATGTCTAGTTAAATTTATAATATATATATATATATATATATATATATATATATATATATATATATATATATATATATATATATATATATATATATATATATATATATATATATATATATATATATATATATATATATATATATATATATATATATATATATATATAGCGACGGTCAGTTACTATTATAATATCGAAATCAGTTTTATTTATTATTTATTTATTTATTAATTAGAACATGTACGTGTACAAGGCGGAATTAATGCTAAAATTGATTCCAGTCTACCTTAGGGAAGTTTTAGAAAACTCAAACGTGATATATATATATATATATATATATATATATATATATATATATATATATATATATATATATATATATATATATATATATATATATATATTAAAAACTAGACATAATTACAATGCAGATTAAAAGCTAGTAATGAATTTAGATATTGGTAATCAACACTCACATTATGTTTTATTGCAGTATTGCGCCGTATAAAATTGAAGAAAATAGGTAGTTAGTGTAAAATCCTTTAATTGAATCGAGGAAGCCGATCCAACTTCGAACATACCCGAAAATTTATAACTTTTCATTTCCATTCGATGCTGTAAATTTGACTTTATATTGGTTTGAGTTTTCATTTGTTTGGTGATCGTAGAGCGCAAAGGTACTTATCTAGAGGTCCCGAATTCATTTCTTGTGCCGTCAATCTATCTGATAGATAATATTTTACGTTATTATGTTCTAACATAATTCTGATATCTTTTAAAATTTCTATAATCTATTTTAAAAGGTACCAGAATAAGTCAAGAAAGATAATAACGAGTTATTCTTTTAGTTTTGAAGTATCCACGCTACTTTGTGGTTGGGCTATAAATGACCAACTTATTAAATTTATTCTATTAATGTTATGTGAAATTTTATAAAAATATCTGAATGTTTAAATATTCAAATGACTGAAAAGATTTAGTAATATTTGGGATATATGATTTAACAAATAGTATAACTCATGTGGTTAAAAAGGAACATACATATTTTTAGACACTTATGTGATTTTAGGTTATTAACTATTAACATTTATTATTCTTTGAATATCTTAGTCTATTATTAAGAGTACTCTGATAATGAGTGGACATACTTATTATAAATATTCAGTTATTCAGTTAATATTAAATTTATTTATAAAAAATGGTTAATATATAAACTTATAAAATATTATCTAGTTCCGAAGCAGAGTTTATATTATGGATACTAGATGGGTACTAGTGAACAAATGTAGAGCTTCCTGAACAAATTTTTTAAATAGTAATTTAGATATCTCTATTATATTAGTACAATTTGACATTAATTAAATTAACATAGTTTGTAATTGTAACGAAGTATCATCTAATTCGAAATAATAAAAATAATAAATATGTAATTATTTATTTTGATACTCACAAAAATTTGCCATAAAAGGCAAAACACATAAATATATATGCAATTAACATAAGAGTTATTTAGTCAATTTGGCGTTAATTGCATATACGAGTATGTTATTAAATAAATATGTACAGATTGTTTGTTATACATATCTATAGTATGCACTTATAGAAGATTAACAATGTTTGTTCGCATACATCTTAGTATCTAAAGCTATTCATCGCATCAGCAGTTTAGGTAAACAATCTTGCAAACATTGAGTTCATGGCGTTGTATACTCAGGCCCTATTAAATCAAGTTTCGATCGATTAATTGCCTGATGATGCCTCGTTTAGTGGTGAAAACGTGTCGCAATATGGATATAGGATTAATAACGGTCAGAGATTGATGACTAACAGGAAAGGTCATAGAGTCTCTGCTAATAACAGTTAGAGCTTAGTGTCAAATGTTAGTATGCATACTAACGATTATTCTAATCAAGTAACTATTCAAGTCGTTATCTACTAATTATCATGACTTTCAAGTAATGGTATTGTCATATCTGTGAGATAATAAAATACGATTTCAATGGCAAGTTCACTGGTATGTTTAAATATGTTCAGGCTTCAGTTAATGTCTTTTTTTTTTAAATGAACTAAATAGAATTATCTAAATATAAGAGACAGACTTTGCATAATACTTTAGTCCTCCGGAATGGCAACGCACGAAGGGTACTGCGAACCTTGTAGTGTATTCTGCTGACATATACCAGTTATATTACATTAAGTACGCAGGTATCTACGCAGGCACTGTTATATTTTTCTAATACATTTTATTTGTATTTTCTTTGAACTTTCCACTGAGACGTGTTTATCCTGTACCTAAACAAAGAATACTTTTACACAAAGACGTTTATTAGTCTTAGTGTCAGAATTAACTTTTGAGATCCGAAACCTATCCTTATTTTATTAAATTTTCACTATTATTTATGCCTTGATTTTGTTTTTAAACTTATTAAAGTAGGTAATTATGTAAATTTACAATGTATATTATTTATTTTATATGGTATGTGTTTATTTAAAAATACTCTTTCTTTAAATAAAATAGAAAAAAATATAATTATACGATTTTTCTTATTTTTACCCGGCTACGGTAGAGAAAAAAGGGGTGTTATGATTTTGACTGGTATGTATGTATATATGAACACGTACATATGAGTATATATTCCCGGGGATGATTTTTTTTTTTTTTTTTTTTTTTTTATAGAACTTAGAATGGCAAACAAGCTGACGGCCCACCTGATGGAAAGTGGTAACCGTCGCCTATAGACATGAGCAGTACCATGGACATAACAGAGTATACTGTTTCGCCCATGATACCCCCATGCGTTGCCATTCCTGAGGACTCAGGTGTTATTCCTCTGTACCCAGTAAATTCACGCCATATCCCACCCTTCAAACCGAAACACAGCCATGCAAACACAACTGCTTCACGGTTGAAACACGAATGGGACAGAGGTACCCAAGCAATCGACTTTTGTACAAAGTTTTGAATATTCCCTTATAAATTTTACAAACTACTTATCATAATAGTAGCATTTGGATTGTCCGCTGGTTACAGGATATGTGACGGCAGATTAATTTAATTATGGCGCCCTCTACAGTACATAAAGTCACGAACAAAATTTTTTTAATCATGCGCTATAAAATGAAAGGGCTTAATTAGCACATTTCAAAAACATGTTATAAGCTGTTGCTGTTGCATGTTGGTCATCATCATCATATCAACCTTTAACTGTCCACTGCTGAAGTTAAGCCTTTCCCTTGGAGGGTTTT